GGGACTTAAAATCGTACATTAATTTCAAACGTCCATTCATGTAGGAATAGTCTATTGAAATAAAAAAAGGCTTTCCTAGAAACGATTATTTTTCCCCCGTCAAGGGGAGTTAAAAGATTTTTCCTTTTCTTATCGGTTAGTGTAGATCGTTAGGCAAGTGAGAGCCCTGTGAACGTTAATCATGCATGTACAACCGAAATAAAGCATGTCAAGTCAAAGCCTTAAAATTAAAGATTTTCTATACTACCTACCTTGTCACACATGAGAACTTAAAAATCCTCATGAAATTAAACAATACAGCTAAAGATGCAACTGTCCATTGTGCTTTGCTGCTGGTGAGCCGTAAGGGTATTATACCGAGGACCAGCAACAGACCTAACCAGTCAAATAGGGCCATCCACTCTGAGAAGTAGGAATACCTCTCTCTATAAAAATGAAGCAAGAAAAATTAATCACTCGTTGGATCTTTGTTTCTTTAGGAAAGCTTTATTCATGAACACAAATTTTGATTTTTGTTGTAAAAAAATGCTCAATAAATGTGGAACATTTGCTATTAAGAAGGGGTTTATTCTGCGGGGGAACCTCCAACACCATGCTGATTGAACCAGTAGATACTATAATGTAACCCATCTGGCCCCCCACTCGCTCAATCCTATGATAAACCAAAGTGTGTTTCTGTTCTGACTCGAAAATCTAAAATAAAAATCTCATTGCAGAATCTTTTTTGTGGTTTTCCCGCGCGCATTCGACTATCGCGTGTTTCACGTCCTATTTGAAGTGATACAAAATTCTGTAGATTTTCAACCCTTGGTGGTCATATGATAAAATGCTTAATGACTGAGTTTGGTCAAACAGGAAGGGAAATATTTGGATCTCAGTCATGACATACAGCTGACACTGTGCTCGGTCTGTATGTTATGAGCCAAGCATTTTCGTGCCCCGCCCTCCTACTCAGTCACTAGGAACATATTCAATCATTTTATGAATTAATTTTCACGGCATTTAACAAAGTTATTAGCCAAATCACTTACATTCTCATTTGATTAACTTCCTCACAGATGTAAAAGACAACCATGAGAAGAGTGATAATCTCACAAAATCCACACCATAGATCTGCTGCACCACTATACAGAGTGGGGTCCAGTTTGGTAGAACCATACAGCAAAGAATATGACAAGCACAGCAAAAAAATTACATACAATACCACTTGAAGGCTAAAAAAGAAAAAGAAGCTTTATACATCAAAAGCCTATAAATTTACAAGGAACACAACTCGAACAACATAAAAGAAAACACATCACAAACGGAAATTTAATGATGCAAAATTAGAAACTAAGGTAAACCTGAATTGGGGTAGGTCACTAAAAATTATAAATAAGATTTTTTTTTCAAGCAGAAGGAAGAGAATTAAATTAGCTATGGTGTATCACACCCCCCTATGCCCTACGATTGTGCTGTTTCTAGCAATTTGAACTATTTTATTTGTTTCCTTTTTTTGTTTTTTGTTTACACATGAGTAGCTTTAGTTATATTAATTTTATAAACAAGGGGTCTACTGTAATTTGCTAGGCTGTAGTGGTCTTCCTAATACTTTTTACGTATAAAGGTGTTTTATTCTTGTAAGATGAAGCTAAATAAATAAATAAATAATTGGATTAATCCACCTGTGAGTTTGAATTTGTGGCCTAAACTTGCAAGCATTCTAAGAAAGGTAAAATTATTTATGAAGTTAAAATTATTTACCTGAGAAAGAAATGTCCATAACTTTTCCATTTTGTCTTAATCAACATTCTGACAACTGGATGTTGTAGAGCCTCCTGAAATTCAGCATCAAGCAAAATTCTAAAGCAACTGTTAGTTAGTGATGAATATTATACCAACTTAGTATAATACCCAGGTGGACAATTTCACACCATTGAGGACACTCATATTTAAATCTAATGACTACTTGTCCAAAAGGCGAAAAGGAAATACATCATATGCACTAATTAATATTTACCTTGTTATTGCTCTTTGCAATCATGTTTAAACATGACTTGTCTCTCCAATTGAAATATTTGTTATCTGACTCTTTGTGTTCTCCTGATAACATAACTTTTGGAGGTCTCCCTCCCTCATCACTATCCAAGATGGCATAATAAAAATAATAGTTCAATGGATCTTCTGGGATTGTCTTCCAGACTCCTTCAATTCCTTCCTTTTCTTCTTTGGAGACATACTTATCCTTACGTTTTGGAAGATAAGGCCAGTGAGGGTTTCCCATCTGGTCAAGCAAAGCCACAACTGTTTTCTGTTGACAGTTTGCATATTTCCATTATTAATAAAACTCCAATAAATTCATTATCAAAATGCCTCAATTTTAAAGGAGTTCTAATTCAAATAACAGCATCAAAATTAAACCAAAACTAAGGGGTTGGTCAGCATCAATTCCACTTCTCAAAATTGTTGTAGGACTGAGTCATAATCAGAGGAATATTAAATTTGAACATAATAAATAAAAACTTGACAATAACAATGCATAATTATTATGATAGAAGATAACTGACTACATAAAGATTCCCAGGATTAATTTAGGTACACCATGTTTGAAACTGCTCTAGTTTGACACAGCATCATTTTCATCAGTTCAAGTAAATTTCTTTCGATATTCTTTGAAAACCAAAAAATTTGTTGCTCTATTTTGATATGAGGCTCATTGGTTACTGATTACACAATAAAAATTTTAACAGTTTGCCTCTTTCTAGTTAATTTGTATCCTACAAATATTTGATTGTCACAGCCAATGGAAGTAATAATAACATCCTATGTAAATTTCTCACCTTCATGTTAGGATTCTCAATAATGGACTTGAAACTAAGGATAGATGACAGAGGAACTGTCCTATCCTCTAGTCTCCAAGAAAATAACCTTTTCACCCTGATAATGAGAGGAGAAATGTGATGATTATACAAATAGTCCAAAGGAGGGGGAAATAATTATAACATCATCAATTTTGTATGTCCTGAGTAGGTGGGGACTTCAGATAATACCAAACTTAGTCCGAATTAGATAAAAAGGGTTATAAAAAAGTGATAAATTGGTACTGGTGAAAATGAATAAGGAACATAAGTTGTTCAGTGGCTAAAATCAAAAGCATTCAACCATAAGTTCAGCCCCTGTGACCCCTCCTAAACAGATGTGGGATCTGCACAGTAAATTGCAAAAGGGTTCACTATCAATTCATCAATCTTTCTATAAAAATCAAGTGAGAAATGGTCCTTGCTCATAAGCTGCAAATGTAAGCAATTGCAGAACAAAAGCACCTTAAATGAAGAAGAAGAATTTATTTCATTAAGAATTGTGAACAGATTCTTAGCTCTTTCTGGAAGGATTAAGCCATCTCTAAAATTTGCATTGCTCCCAAAGTGTGGCCTTGGACAAGCTCAGTTGAGATTAAACACCCAACTGGCTTCTGAGTGGAGCAGGTTCATATCTAGCCAAAGCCTGAATTTTTCAGGCTTCTGTTCTGCAATTTCTTTGTAATTGAAGCCCATGTTGCAAGGATAATAATTTCTTTACTAATTGATTATTATCTGTAGGTCAAATGGAAATGGTTTCATTTAAAATTTTAATTTTTCTGTGCACAATAGACAATCAAGTACCTATCATGCCACATTGTTCTAATCAGATATGCTGCTACTTCATCATTTTCTGCATTTACAGCCATTTCAACTGGTAACATGGCACTTTTTTTCTCCGGTACCAATTGAAGTTCAGTCTTTGCAGCCAGAAGTCCAGGACATTTCTTCACAAGAGTTTTGGTGACTAATAAAAACCCAAGTTCAGCAGCATAGTGAAGCAAAGTTTTCTTTCTTTTGTCTCCTTCATCTTTATATACCTCATATCTGTTCTCCAAGTTCAGTTCACTATCTAACAGAATCTCTAAAAACAGATTTATCTGAAAAAGACATTTAAATTCACAAAAGCCCTTTAAATAGCAGTATTATCTTTGGAGAGTGAGGGGAGAGGATGTCTAATGTCTAAACTACCCCATCCACTATGGAATTTTTCAGTATGAAATCTAGCATACATTAAACTTGTTAATATTTATCTCTGTTGTTACCTCTTTGGCCCCTGTGATAGACTAGCATCTAATTTCTCCTTACAATATCATACTTGAATCACACATAAAGGTAATGAGCATAAGGCAAATGATCACAAATTAAAGAAGCACTTGATAATTAAACTAATTCTCCTTGTCTGCACCATAGGAACTGTATAAAGAAAAGCTTGAATAATATGCAAACTGATGTAAGGTGTAAAGGGTTAAGTATATCAACTGTTTATCACACAGATGTGGTTACCATACCAGCTTTTCAAGGCCTGGAAGTTTGTCAGGGCTTTCTCTGTACCGTCTGGATGCTGGCCACCGTTTTAACATCACAAGTGCTGGGTCCTCACCGTCCAGTTCTCCATTTACCTTGTAATTCTGAATTAGCCTTTCAACTCGAACTTCGTTCATAGCTCTGCTCCATGACAATCCTTCACTCTGCTTTTCATGAACCTACGTACGAATTGAAGATAGATATGTTGGAGCTCAAGCTTTTCTTCGCCAACAACATTTTGAGTCCATAGATTACTCAAATTTAGAATTATCAGGGTTTCCTTGCGTTTTCACCTTGATCCAAAACTCTCTCGATGTGGCGTAATCCCAATCCAGAAGATCCCCTTTCTCATAATTTTCACTTAGAGGTTCTTGATCTTCGTCACTATTTCCTTCGTCACCTTGTTCGAAAAACTTCCCTTTTCTCATCTTTGAATCACTTATCATCAGCTGGAATATCAGTTCAATGTATTTTATTTGACAGAGCCTGTTTACGGGGTAGAAATTAGGCGTGTGGTTCTCTTAACCCTTCAATGCGTCTTAGGTTCAAATCGCCTAGCAACTGAACAACTACTACGCATGTCAAGATTTTTACGCGGGCTCATACAGGGTAGCCTTTGAGTAATACCTGCATCAAGAGTCTCCGATATCGAAACGCGCGCAATGCATTCTGGGATCGTCTCATATAAAAAGTGGGCACCAAGCGTGACAGCGGCCATCTTGATAACTAAAGCATCGTCAACATTTATACACTTTTACCTCGCGATTTTACAATTTTTTCCAGTTTAAATTAGATCATAGTTTGTATATAGTTTTAATAATAGTTTGTATATAGTTTTCACTAGTTTGTATATAGTTTTCATATAGTTTTCTCGTCGTTTTTGGCGTGGAAATGAGCGAGACAAGTGAGCTTTCCCTCGAGGAAGTCAACACATGGAAGGTGGACGCTCTCAAGTTATTTTGCCGTAAACGAAATCTTAAAACTTCTGGAGCTAAAGCTGAACTTGTAGCCCGTGTGTTTGCAGCATCAGAGATGGGAATCCAAGTACAAGCATCGGCTAAAGAACTAATGTGCATCACGGAGTCTGAGAGAGCGAAGCTATTGTTTACTCCTGAGGGCAGCAAGCTTCCCGATCCTCTTGGGCTAAAGGACGGATGGATTGATGAAAAAGATGGGCTAACATCATGGCCTCCTATATTTCTAAGTGACATTACGAAATATCTGATGGCTGATCATCCTGGAAAGGATATTAAACTGCACGAACGGGTCATGAATGAGTACAAAGAGGGGAAAGCATACCGCTTATTTGACTCGGGCTTTCTGAAAGAAGTTTTCTACCATGAACTAGAAAATATGGATTTTTGCTTCTTGAAAGCAAAATGTACGCATTCGATGAAGGTTGGTGATACACCACATACATCATGGATTTGTTCAAGAAAAAATGGAGAGATTATCAGTGCCTACTGTACCTGTACTGCTGGGTATGTTAGACTTTCTGTTTTATAAGACTTTAACTTGTAACTGATGCAAAATATAAGCCTAAAATATCATGTTTATCATATACCTCGATTTTATGACTAATGTTGTTGGTCTAAGCTCAATATATATTATACTTTAGAATGTTTAAAATATTATGTCTATCATATACCCTAACTATTTGTTATTTCTTGTTTCAGTATGAGTGGTTCTTGTATTCATGTGATGGCACTGCTGTTCAGAATTGAAGCAGCAAACCGTAATGGTATGACAAATCCTGCATGTACGTCCAAAGAGTGTGTGTGGAATGTTCCAATAGGAAACAAGACTGTAATCAAGCCCTCTAGAATTTGTGATATGGAGTGGAAGGCTTCAAAGCTAAATAAAGGTATGTTATTATGTTTAAAATTCTAAACAAAGTATTTACAGTATGTATACTGGATAGACATAAGTGTTATCTGGGGACATAAATAAGAAAGTTCTTATTAGCTTGTAACCTAGCAATTAATTTACTTTTATTTTGTGTTTTTCTAGAGACGACCAGACCTGCCATCGATAGTCGCCGAAAGTTATTCAATTCACATGAAGAGTTGAAGCCCCTGACTCCAAAAGGAAAGAGGAAGTCGTTTTATAATAATTTGAAGGACTTGTTGCCAGAATCGGCATTCATCAAATTAGCAACTGCTGAGTTTGAGGAACCGTGTTCAACTTCCGTTACAATAGAAATTAATACTGAAGTACCTGAATGTGTAATGCCTAAGTCATCAAAGAAAGACTTAAGTGCTGATGATATACATCTGATTGAACAAGGCACCATTGGTCAGTCTGAGAATGAGGCATGGCACGATTACAGAAAAGGCCGATTAACTGCCTCTAATTTCTATAGAGTGTACACAAAAGTTGAAACCCTTAAAACTAAGGGGGGTGATGCACAGGAACTAGTGGACACAATCCAGGGTAAAAGTAATGGACCGTCGGAACATTTACCTGCTCTAAAATATGGAAGAAACATGGAGAAAGTTGCTAAGGATAAGTATGTGAAACTGTTTCAGAGGGAGCACAAAGATGCAAAATTCAGAGAGTGTGGACTATTTATTGATGAATCTGACCAATTCATTGGAGCATCCCCTGATCTGCTTGTTGAATGTTCCTGTTGTGGATTAGGGGTGCTAGAAGTGAAGTGCCCTTATTCTATTGTTAATGATTTACCATCAGAAGACAATCTTTCCTACCTGGTAAAGATTAATGGCAAAATTGTCTTGAAAGAGAAGCATGCATATTTTGCACAGATACAGGGACAAATGGCTGTGACAAAGAGAACATGGTGTCACTTCCTGGTCTACACCCAAAAGGGTTATCATCTGGAGCTAATCAAGTTCAATAATGATTACTGGGAAAAGATAAAGCAAAACCTAATTTGGTTTTATAATAAGTATTTAAGTGAATGAATGCTCGTTAATTATAACTTGATACAAAACTTTATTTACATGGTGTAAACACTAAAAATACATTTGTACATTTTATATACAATTTAGAATTTTTACAATTTCATATCTGGAAAAACTGGTCTGACAGTTCTAAATTGAACTCAAATAGTCTCTGAATAGAACAGTAAAATTGTCTGTTGTGGAAACTGGAATGGATGAATCAAATCATGAAATTTTATACAAGTAATGCATTGACCACACTTCAGTATGATTGAAAATGTTACAGTTTGATATTGTTTGCAGTTATATATATAGTAATAATAAATAATATATTATTTATTTGTGTTCAGCGACACATGAGCTGTGAAATGAAGAAAAATATTTACAAATTATATCTAATGATTGTAATCACTCTACCAGAATAATTTTTCTCTTGTGAGGTCCTTGTGGTGCAAATAATATAACAGTTCTTATTCAGAGTGCACATACTTAATAGCTGAAGCATTAAATGGTACTAAATCATACTATTACTTAATTTTCTTGTTATGTACCATTATCAACACTATTTAGTATTATTTGGTACCATTTGTATGAAAGATTAAGTGATTGCACTCTATACTAGTTGCTAGTAAAGTAGAGCAGAGATTTTGAATAACATTTAACCTAAGAAAGAACTTAGACTAATACATATTGGTATCCTCTAAATTTATGAAGTTTATATTCTTTCATGGGTTAAATGCTGTCAATCTTTTTAGCTATTTGTACATTTCTTGTTAATCATTTTTTACCCAAGGGTCTATACAAGTTACATAAGGCTGCACAAATAAGTACAATGTTGTCTATACTGCCAAGCAGTGATATTGGTAGTTCATGCTTTATCAGTCTAAACGTCTTCAACCGTCTTATTGCTTGCTCAACAAAGATTCTAAGATTTGCAATTTCTTTTGTTTTAGCAACTTCAGCTTTAGTGAACTGCTCTTGTCCACGTTTACCAGGGGGGATGTGTAGTCTTGAGCTTCTGATTAAGAGGTCTTCAGCAATTGTGAATCCACGGTCTGCCATCACTTCATCGCCAGGTTCAATGATATCATAAAATGATGATTCTCTTGTC